ATTATTATTATTATTATTAAGTCTACACACATACAAAAGGAAGGTGACTGTGGTCAAACAAAGCAAGTCAAACTAGCCCCATCAAAAAGCTGTTGGTTAGATTCAAGGTGAAATTCTTTGATGAAACGAGCCTCTCGGGAGCGCCACCGGTAGAATGATTCTTGGTTGTGCCATCCAGTGCACTGGCTACCTGGTCTCATAAAGGCAATTTGCCGGTCAAGCCGCACCAATAAGCTCAATAAATCAATTCCATTCATTTTCCTGCCGAGCCCCGGACGATAACGAATTCGTTCGCCAACAGGGTGGTACTACACAAGCTGGAAGATTTACTCACATAAATTTTGGAATGTGTGTGGATTAAAGTAAAATCCCACACCGAATTTCATCACTGAACAGTGTTCAGTTGATAACAGTATCTTGCCGGACTGTATCAAATTTCCTTAACTTTATTCGAGCTTACTCACGGTCTGCTTTGGGCAGGAAATTCATATCTTCAGTGGTTGCCAAGGCTCGGAGCAATTGCTCCGTGGAAACGATGGGTAATTTGGTAGAAAAGTTATTTTTTCCTGTGTTATCTCCTGTGTTGGAAAAGGAAATGGTTTGAATGAGTACCTGAGCAGTGAATGTATTTTTCGTCCGAGGAAACTCAATATAGGGTGGGCATTCTAGACCTACGAAAATGATCTCATCCCTACAGCAGATATCTCTCCAGACAAAGCCATGGGAGTGGTTGCAGTTACCAAGTTTGCTATGTTTTTCTTTTACAGTCAGAAGACAGTGTATTGGATGCATGGAAATGCTTATGCGGGGAACTGAGTCCTTCACAGTTCTATGGGGAGGGTGGATTTTTGGGTAATGGGAGTAGGCATTACAATAGGATGACAAGTACTTCCGAGTTCTGGAACAACTTTAGCAGATTAAGGTGGTTTTCTGGTGCATGCAACATCAGTCGTTAAACATTAGACATAACGTGAGCCACTGGCAACATATCCGACTGATCATGTTGAACGGGATACCATCATTGTGACGTCCATCTTGGGTTCGTGGACTGCCCACCCATCTTGTTTGCGTCAGTTGGGGTTACCGTGGTCTTTGGCATTGTTCAGAAACCCTTAACAGCTAGACATCAGCGTGAGCTGAGGACTTTATTAGGTCCATGAGAAAGGCACAGCAGCCCACTGCTAACGTTCAACCGAGGCAGTTAGACGGTAATAACTGGACCTGGGAGTCAAAACGAAAAAAACACTGACAGAGAGCAATAGATAACAGGTTAATCTTCCAACGATATCAGGCAGTTTAGCGTGGTTAGGCAATGCTCTCCGATTTTAGACACGACAATGGATACTCCGGTGGAGATAGCAAGAAATATCGGAACGTGCTTAATATGGAAGGATGTGACCATGTGTGAAAATGAGGAGTGCTCATTAATTAAAGGTATGCTAGTGGTGATGTACAAGTAGTTTCATTAGTGTTATTGGATTTTCGTAATTGATGCTCCTCTTAGCAGTAGAGAGGATTATGTGTAATAATATTTTTTGCGAGAAAACTGGCTTTGGTGCGGTGCAAACTCAACTAAGACGAAGGTGGCTCAGTATTGTAGAGAATACTTTCAGGTCGTTCCACGTGGAGATTTCAGAAATATCTAACGGACAGAAGGTCTGCAACATCCGTCATTGAGAGCGTTGCCAAATAAATGACAGCTGTGACAAGTCTAATTCGGCAGCTAAAAGATCGATAAAAACAGTGCTTCTTCATGAATTTCCCGAATCCTGCAGTTTATTTTTTGCCTGCCACCTTCAAATCCTAACGATCCGAACTCGCTTGATATTCTATTCGGAGGCACGTAGTAACCGTGCTTCTCTGCATGTTCCGGTTCACTGGTGATCATGCCTACATCAAATAATGCCCACTTCCAATGACGCTGTCGCTTTTCCTAACCCCTGTGCCCACAATCCCAGTAGTGCTTTCATTCTCATTGTAACATTATTATTATAGTATTATAATTATACCTGACGGAATGCCACCCACAAGTTAAGATTGAACGTTATTATCCTTATTGTTAATGTTATTATTTATTTGGTTGGTTCCGCTCCTGTCGTTCAGCGGCTGCTGCTCACCTGAAAGGCGGAAGCGAAAAAAGGGTTAGCATTGCTCTTTAATTTTCCAATGCAAGCATTCACATAAGGAGCGTCTTATAGTGCTTAATACTGGGCACTAGATGGAGCGTGAACAACCGTCAGAGGAAGATTATTCTACGCACCAATTGCCCGAAATGTGAAAACATTTTGCCTCAAAAAGCGAGCCCCCTGATCTTGAAACTCACCCTACCACGGCATCGCCGTGTGTCAGCCGGATCAACGGCGAAAAACTGTTTAACTAAACCCTGTACAGAAAGAACATTAGCAAATATTTGATCTACCTGGAATAAAGGATTCTCCATAGGCAAACATTTCAGGTGCCGTTACTTGCAGCTCATTCACCAGCGACTTTCAGACACCTAGATTTGCTGTTGTTCAAGAGTTGGGGCGGAAATGCATCTGCTTGGTTGTTTGCGCATCTTTCTGAGGCTTCATTTATAAGGTGTCAAAAGGCCCTGTGCGTTGGGTGGCGGCACGAAAAGTATTAGTTTCAGTGGCGCTCGCTAAGACTTGTCTTCGAAAAGGACTGAAATTTAAAGCTGGTCAGTAGCCTAAGGATTTAGCGAGCTTTAGTTATTTTGCTTAGCTACAGTCGCTTTTCTTTCATGTTGGTGTGGACTATTAAATCACGCGCAATCCGCCCAGCCAAATGGTTGTATGAGGAAGTTTCTGGTTTGCTGGATTTGTAATATCTTCTACCAAAACCTATTGACCTCTCTCTACCTTGCCCCTCCCATTAAGAGTTTTTACCTTGGTATCTCTCGACATGATAAGCCATTGAAAGCCTTGGACAATAAAATACGCCCAGACGGCTGTGAATATCGGAAATTTCTGGATTTCTCATTAATACATTTCATCAACAAGCTCTCAACTAACCGAGAGTCCTTCCGTGTATCCCTCGAATGTTAAGATGAGAGCACCGCTCTTAGGGGCCCTTCTAGCAGTGAATTACTCGGTCGCGTATTTCGTGGGCGCTGTACCCCAAACTGTCACCAAGTCACTTGTCTGAGCTCCACCAACGGTAGTCTCACCACTCATCCTGTCAATATAGCCGACCACTTGAATGCTTACTTTGCCAGCTGCTTCTTACCTCCTTCTCCCAAGTTCAATCCTACAATCTCCGCCTCAAATTACACCTCTACAACAGAGTAACCGCCCATCTCTGAGCAACTTGGCCCTTCTTCAAACCATCAGAGACTCCGCCGTGCCAGCGCGGTAGTTTGAAAGCTGTTTCGTTTTTTCC